ACCCGTCCAGTCGCCTGGGCGACGTCGGACGTCGTCGCAAACACGACGTCGTATTTTGGTCGGATACGACGCTAGGCGTCCGGTCGTGTAGACACGAAAGCTGACGTCAGGTGTCCGACGCAGATACGACGCCTACCCGTCCAGTCGCCTGGGCGACGTCGGACGTCGTCGCACACACGTCACGTCGTGTTTTGGTCGGATACGACGCTAGGCGTCCGGTCGTGTCGACACGAAAGCTGACGTCAGGTGTCCGACGCAGATACGACGTCGTGTTTTGGTCAGATACGACGCTAGTTGTCCGGTCGTGTAGATACTAAAGCTGACGTCAGGTGTCCGACGCAGATACGACGTCGTGTTTTGGTCAGATACGACGCCTACCCACGACGCCTACCCGTCCAATCGCCTGGGCGGCGTCGGACGTCGTCGCACACACGTCGTGTTTTCGTCAGATACGACGCCTACCCGTCCAGTCGCCCGGGCGGCATCGGACGTCGTCGCATACACGACGTCATGATATGGTCTGATACGACGCACATCTCACCAAATAGGTCGTGCTATCGTCAGGTTTGAAAGGTCGTCGGATGCGTCGTATAAATCGGACGCGTCGCATTTTGAAACAATTCAACGCCGGCACGACAGGAACACGACACAGTACAACGTCATATACGACGACTTTCAGACGTCGTCTTTTCGTCGTATTCACGTCATGTCGTCCCATCAGGGAGTATTGATGATACTGTTGACACGGCAACAAAAACAGAGATTATTATTCCCTTGGATGAAACTGACAATGATAAGGGATCTGACCTTTCCAAAGAAGGCTCAAAGGAAGATTCTTCTTCAGGGTTAAAGGGAGTTTCTTTCCATGGCCATGACTACCCGACCGACGAGGACCAGGCAACGCCTCGGGATGACGTGGAAAGCCTGCGCATTGATACTCCAGAGGACTCAACTGGCACAAAAACAAGCTCTGGCTCTGAAGAAAATGGGGATCCTATCATTCCACCTACCGTAGTTATCTCGAGAACAGCTGACGTAATCGAGCTAAAGGACGGCGAATTAAATATCGTTACACAAATGGAGAAAGAAGGCCTTGTTGCAGAGGGATTGCCTGGAGACTTCGATGGACCTGTAGAGGAGATAATTATCACCAAAGGGGCACTTCAGACACTCTCTGAAGAAAGCTCAGACCATAACTCTAGCCCGAAAATATCACCGAAAATAGTCGCACTAACTGTTGTTGCTGCTTCAACAATAGGTCTTATTGACGCTGAGAAAGAAGATGCAGAGCATTCTCAGCCTGAATACGCTTCAGAAAATAAGGACGAAGAAGACACGGTAGAAATAATTGCTGCTGACTTTGATCATAATCGTTTTATTCACGAAGAAATAAAACATTCCAACCTTCTTCTTGGAAATCATGCTACTGTCCACAGTCGGCCGCAGGATGTGGGGCTAGTCAGAACAGATACCTTGCATACCGGCACAGCTTTGTCTTTTCCTCAACACTCTTTGCAAGAAAATTCAGACAGTTTGCGTCAGTCTGTAAGCCACGACGAGGCGCATTCCGATTTTGTTGAACCTGTCAAACAAGCTGTTAATTCTACCACACACGCTCATGAAAGTGAAATCGGAAAGCACGTCGCAACTTCATTTGCAGCTGTTCAACCAATAGCAAATGTGACAGATATTGATGACAGCGTCGATGTAGATGAGACGGGCAAACCTATTCCAGTTGACGAAAACGGTAAACCAATGTACAGTAACCGGACGAAAAGGGCGGTGCATGATGATAAAGACATAACAGTTGCTAATGATATAATTCCTGACAAAAGTGCAGTACAACTTTCGCGGTCAGGATCCATTGTTGCAAAAGAAAGTGAAAATAATCATTGGTATGGTTCCCAAATGTCTACTGCCGGCTCCACTCTCATCAAGCCAGCCCTAGCAATGTCTCGTGATCCAACTCTCGAAACCTTGCACCCTTGTGACGAACCAGAATGCATAGCAGTTGACGTAAGGGTGAAAGACAAAAGTGGCATTCAATCCACAGGGAAAGAAGGCGAACAAACGTCCCCTGTCGCAAGAAAGGGTATCGATGTTATGAAAGAAATGAGCTTGGTGACAAGCAGAATAGGCCAGTCAATCATATCGTTAGGATCCGATGAAGCTGTAGAAGCAGGTGCAATGGCCATGGAAACTGGAGATCCACCTGAACCAAAACGTTCCGACTCGCAGGAGTCATTTATCATATCTGCGGACGCTGTATACATACCATTAAACCCGCCAGGAATGAAGCAACCGCACCTTGAGCGAATAGATTCAATCCCGTCAGTTTCAGGAAGTGTTCAAGAAGAATTCGGTCCAGGCATTAAACACTCAACGGAGCTTAGCCAGGAAAACAAAAACTCGGAATTGTCCCATCATGGTCAAAATTACAATCGTGGAGTTGGCACTTCTTCACCTCGCACCTACACGGTGACGGAACCGAGGAGTACTTCTGCCTATGTTGAGCATGAAATTGAAGATGGAGGTTTGGAGGTGAACCAGGATGACGATGTGCTAATTGTAGAATATCCTACGGACCCACTCGCCAAAGTAACTAAGTGGGATAACGTGGTTGTCGCTTCTGCCGAAATGAAAGGCGATCTTCTGCCAAAAGACGATGCTGGTCGGTTTGAATCACTTCCTAATGAGCCCCAATCTTACATGTCAGTTGATGACTCCCTACAAGATTTACCAAGCCTACAAGATGAGGCTGTTGTCAATGTCGAGTCTGAATCTGAGCTTCTGGATTCCATGCCAGAAGAAGAGGTAGACAGGAAGTGGACTGACGACGTTGTGAAGATTGCACACAAAGCCCACGGCGCTGCAAAGGGACTTTTCAGTCGTAACGGTGTTTCGCACGATGACGAAAATAACATTCAGGACCCAAACATTCACGGAGAAAACATTATGACAGTTCCAAAAGATGCTGTATTAGACACAAAAGATTCCGAACGTTTAGCTGCTGAGATATTCCCCAACGAGGCAGTCACATCAAGTAAGACAGCTCTGCAAACAGATACTGTGGACAGCAGTGCGCTTTTGGATGATGCCAAAAATACACAACTGTATAAGATAACAAATGAAACAGCTCTTGGAACTACGGCGGAAATAAACTCTTCAGAAACCAGCATTGAAAGTAATGTAAAAGCCGTTGGCCATGGTCTAATTGACAGCGCATCTCGGGGATTTACCTCTGTAAAATCCTCTATCGAAGATACCAAAGGCAGTATTGAATCAGCTATTGTATCTACAAGAAGCAATCTCAGTTCTGGGGTACACAACGTCGAGGATAAAGTCAGCAAAGTTCAAGAGAGTGTAGTCGCTGGCTCGGAAGGAATCATTGCTTATGCTGAAGAAACCATAAACGAGGCTGCACACCAGGGTCAAAGTACTGTCAGTAAGAAACTATCGGGCATAGAAGAAAGTTTTGGGGCAGCATTGGGACACGCTGAAGACAGTGCCGCAACTGCATTGGATGCTTTAAAAAGTAAAACCTCTAAAGCTCTCACCGGTGTTCGAGATGAAATTACTAAAACTGTGGAAATCGCAACAGACAAAACATCGGAAGCTGGTCAGGACATTAAAACTAAAGCAGTCGATACCGTACTCGATGTAAAGGATTCAGTTTTGAATGTCGTTGGAAATGTGGAGAATTCGATATCAAAAGCTGTTGAAGTTGTAAAGGATAAAACATCGGAGGCACATGAAACTTATGAAGAGACGTCGTCATCAATATTAGAAGCTGTAAATAGCACGGCTGCTGGGGCGATCGAAAGTTTGGACATGTCGAAATCGATTATGAACGCTTCAATAGACCATGCAGTTGTTACCACTGTAGATAATGTGGAAGCCGTTGCTGAAAAAATGTCTGAAGATGTGTCTAGTGTCACAAAAAGGGCTGGCGAAGATATAGGTCAAGCGATAGAGGACATCGCACAAGCAGACGGAAGTAGTACATCTGTAGCTCTGGATACGCTTGACAAAGCTGACGAGGCGTCTTCCACGGCAGCGACAAGTTTAGCACATGCTCAAGTAGGCAAGAACATAGTTGCCGGGGCAAAGTCGGATAGGCTATTGGATGGGGAAACGGTAACGGACGGCATTACAACTGATAATGGGAACAACACAACTTCCGGGGTTTTAGCCAGCGCCAGATCATCTGCTCATGTTGTTTTAGAAGACGCAACACCGGTTCATGTTTTATCGGAACATGCCGAGAGAACCGAGAATGTGGCGAATTTCGGAGAACCTCGCTTTGAGAGACCCAGTCACGAAGGCACAACACATTCTGAAACAGAACACCCTGAGGTAAATAATAAGGGTGTTTCAAAAATTGCGGCAGTGCATAATGCAGTTTCAGGAAACATTGAAAGCGTCAGAGGTCATGTTAACGCTGTACATGAACTGGGGGCTGCTAATAGTGCTAAAATCGATATGGGGAAAATGAACGTTTCGAATACAGAATTATCTCAAAAAGAGGGAAGTTTTTCTAATGCCACAGAAGAGACGACCAATGAGAACAACGAGGACTCACTTCAAGGAGTAACAGAGACCGAAAACATAGTCGTCTTGAGTTCTCATCTAAATAAAAACCAAACTGTTGATGACGTAGCAAACGTTCAAAAAAGCAGTGAATTGCTCTCAAGTGAAATCCATAACGAAGTTATCACCAAACAAGAGTTATTTACTGACACAGAGGCATCTAAGCTCGTCTTTCAGGCTAACGAACGCCTCCAAAGCACTATTAAGTCCACCGAGGAAATCGTAAAACAAGAAGAGGCAAAGCTGCAGCAATCCTTATTTTCCGAAAATCTTGCTGCCGAAGAGACTATCATTGCAAAAGTTACCCAGGCTGAAGACGAGACTGTTGCAGCGCTAGAATTGGCAGAAGCTTCAGTTCGGAAAGCACTAGATCAGGCTGAGTTAACGATATCTTCTGAGACAAATAAGAGCCTGTCGCTTCTTGAACAGGCTCAAAAAAGTGCTAAAGACATGAGTGGAAATATTGAGAATGAGCCACCTCTCAGTAATAAATTGGCCCAAGAGACACACGACAACGTTGAAACTATTGCGATTGCCGAAGATGCTGCCAAAGATGCGACTGTTAAAGCTCTGGAAATTGCGGAGAAGTCTGTCAAAGGAGCACTCGACCATGCTGAAAATGTTATTACGGCCGAATCTCGAAAAGTCTTGGCAGTAATGAATGTGGACGATGACACCATTGCATCGAGGAAGATGGTAGACGATGCAACAGTACAAAATGACGAAGATGTTAAACCTGCAGTCAAGGATAGCATTAGAATTGATGTAGAAACAAACAAAACGACTACTTTAGACGACACTGTATCTGTGTTGGAGTTGGCTGAGAAATCTGTTCGAAATGCTCTAGATCGAGCCGAAGAAGCAATATCTGCAGAAGCGCTTAAAAACCAACATGGCCCGTCTGAAGTCACATCCTTAAATAATAAAGAGACTGGGAAATCCGAAAAACAATCCAAAATACCAGTCCTGGTTTCAGGCGTATCAGATCAGAAGAGCCTGGACATAGCCACTGGTAAAACCAGAGTGGCAACAGAAAACACTGCAGAAGACATTACTTTGTCGAATTTACAACGGACTGACGAATCTGTGAAAATGGCCCTCAGTCATGCAGAGGAAAGCATATCTGCTGAAATGAAAAAAACCGTACACAGCGGCGCGGAATACACTGCGCATAGCGAAAGTGACATAAAACATGAGTCAGAAATTGAGACGGTTGTGTCAACTGCCAGCAAGGTCAATCAGTTTTCTGAGAGCATTCACGAACGAGTCAAAAGGGAGGTGTCCTCCCTAAGGGATTCACATCAGGCCTCTCCACGTGACAGAAGCGGCGCGGTCCGCAGAGGCCGGTCTACAACAGACATCACCGTCAGGAAAGCTCCTCTCAAGTCGGACAGCTGGGAAAGTAACCTAAGGAAGAGTACAGTAGCATCCTCTGGGAAGACCACTCGTACTGCACCCTTAAGCGGGACTGACCAGATCAAATCAAAAGTGCCTCACACGATAAGGTCGGCCAAGAAAGTACAACCCTCGGCTGAAATAGCCCCGAAAACGTCTGCAGGCGAAGGAAGGCGCAGAGGCACATTGCGCAAAGCCAAAAGTCTAGCAGAAGACTCCACAGAAGAATCGAAGAAGCGAGTGAAGAAAATGCCGTCTCAGGGATCAACGCAGAAGACAGCCATATCAGTAGAAAGCGCCGTTGAAGCAGCTGGAAATACTGTTGTCGAAGACGCTCTAGACAAGGCCAGATCCCCACGGGATCAAAGGGATGACAGTTCGTCTGAAGCTAGTAAATCGACAACGATCACCACCTCATCGAGTACGCGGCAGCAAACTCATAGCAGTAGTTCTGAGGTTACGGAAAGTACACTCATGGTCAAAACCGAACTGGTACATGCAGCAGCCACCATTCAAGACGCGTTTCGTGAACATAGTGGGGTAAGTAGTATTTTCATAGGATTCTTTAATTTGAAAAAGGATTATTTATTGATTTTTTTAAAAAATTTATTGTCGATTTTCCTTTAGAGATCAAAACATTAATTTTTTCTTCTTTTTTGTGTGTATTTTTTATGCAAATATTTCTTACTCTACTTTATTTGTTGACACAGGTGCCGGTAGACGAAGATGGCAAAGAAGTAGTGGTCCCATCTCCACCGATCGCTCGCAACCCCTTTCAGATCGAGCCAGTTCTAGAAGAGATTGCCGAGGAGGTTGGTGTGGACCGTCAGGCTAGTTCGCGTAGGGGCTCGCGGCAAGACTCACATGGCGCGGACAACGAGGACACGTCGACCTCCGAGTCGTCGCTGTCAAGCGCAGCCACAAAAATCCAGGCCGGCTTTCGGGGTCATCTCGCCCGACGACATCGCCTTCTTGGCGGCCGTCACGGCACGGCTGGAACGGCGTCCACGTCTGCATCCATGTCAATGTCCCGTGATTCCGACGTAGGGGTTGTACGCGCCATGAGCCTCCTCGAGGACTCCGAGGTGCAGCGTCACCAGCTAGATCCCTTAGACCAGCTGCCAGAGGCCGACGAGTACGGACCAGCCAAGTACGTCGCTGAGGTGCATCGGGCGCATCAGGAGTCACAGGCTGCGCACAAAGGTCTGTAGAAACTGGGTACGAAGTAACTGTTGGCCGTCAGTGCGTCATTGCATGGTTGCCACAGACAAGAGTTAGTTGTCACAGCTAAGCTGTCGCTGCAGGAGCCAATCTGTTCGACAACTAATTGGGTGTTTCGCTGTCAGAACGAGCCAATTGGCTCTTGCCCCGACAGCACTGATAAACTAAGTGTTCAACTGCTCAACACTTGAAAGTGTGCAAATGCAAGTTGAATACTTGCAAGTGTGCAACTCCCTAGTCGTACACTTGTAAGTGTTAAACTCGGGTGTTGTGCACTTGCAAGTGTGCAACTCCTCGGTTGAACACCTCATTAGATTGGACGCTTACTGTGTAGGAAGTGCTCAACCGAGGAGTTGCACACTTGCAAGTATTCAACTTGCAGTTGCACACTTGCAAGTATTCAACTTGCAGTTGCACACTTGCAAGTATTCAACTTGCAGTTGCACACTTGCAAGTATTTAACTTGCAGTTGCACACTTCGAAGTGTTGAGCAGTTGAACACTTAGTTTATCAGTGAGCTTCGCTGTAGCAACTATCCTGTCTGTGGCAACCAACTGTTAGCTGCCACAGCAAATTTCTTGTCTATCCGAAATTTACCTAATTTATTTGTTGTGGCAACTAGTTCTTATTTTTCGTGTTACAAACGTAAGGCATTGAATAGCTGCTTATTTGTGAATCTGTCTACAGAGAGCGTCGCTTTAATAACCCGTGGTTTCTCTCCACCCTTCCGCAGGTGTCGAGTGGGCGCGTTCGCTAGACAGTGGGTTATCCTCGGGTCCTGAGCGTCACACCCCCGTGCGCTCCGCCGTGTCTATGCAACAGCGCGTCCTGCGGGGCCCCGACCTGGACGAGCACATCTGGCGCACCCTGGAGCAGGAGATGCAGGAGGGCACGGTGAGTAAGCGTACACCACACAGACTTGCTGTATTACACTTCGTAGATGTACGCCAGGGCCAGGCCACACACTGAATGGGGAGGGACAATTTTGTACGTAGTTTCGATAAAAGACGCGAGATATGCACATCTAAATCAGATCCAAATTTTTATCTGATAAATATGTGCACAAAGACACGTCTAACCTTGTTGCAGAAATAATTGTCCCTACCCATTTAGAGCGCACGTCCCACGACATTTCGCGAAACACTCATATTGCTGCGACGCGCCTATCCCACATGTACTTAGTTCTGTGGCGCAGCCCGCGAATGCAGTAAATGAACCGTCAGAACACCTTCCTAGCAAAATCTAATCGGCTTTGCCTTGAGAGGTGGGAGTGATTCGTTTAGTTGTTCCTTTTTTTATTGTTCTTGTATTGTTCATTTTAGGGATGTGGGAGGGTCAGAATCCGCTCCTCTATATTATTTATTTTATCATCAAAACTTTGAAACCATAAATCAAAGTAACGTTTGCGGGTGGGGGAAATACAAATTCTCGCTGTTCACAAAACACTCGTCACTCCGTCTCACCACGCAGCACACTTGCTTTCACTGCATCGTTTCAGACAATTTATTGGCCGCACTTCCCGTCACAGGTCTGCGACACTAGAAATAGGGCTACCCCATCAAGATCGCCCCCCCTCCCCTCACCCCCTCTCTCACACTCACGCAGAAACACAACACAACCACACGCAAGCATGAACATTCACCCCCACGACTATCTCTCCCCATTCTTCCTCTAATGAGTGAAGGTCCATGGTATAGGATTTTTATATACCGAGAACACCACACTCAAAGAAAAAGTAACCTGTTCACAGAACTGGGCACATCACAGCGCGCACTGTGCACTCCTTGGGGTTTGCCTACTCCCTCCCCCAACAGGGGGGCACCCTGCGGCTTTAGCTAGCGAGTAGGCAAACCTGCAGCACTAGCACTGTGATGCGTTCTCTCAGACACACAGGAAATGGAGAGGTATACTACTTTTGCAAAGCTTCATGCAGCTGTTACATCTTTAGCTATGCTAATGCTTAGCTTTTACATACCTTAGAGTATAGCAAGGAATTAGTCATGACAGTTCTACTCTTTTTTCAGGACGACTCCGGGCAGGGCGAGGGCGCCAGGCTGATGAGCCGGGCGAGCCGCCACCACCACCGGCGCAGCCTGCACCGCGGCAACGCCATGCAGCTGCCCACCACCTCGAGCAGCACGCCGGGCAGCCTGGACGAGACCCACCTGGAGCCCAGGCACACCGGCGAGTTCCACGACGTCGTCGTGCTGCACCAGTGTAAGATGCCTCGATTACCACCCATTACCACCACCTACTCTTTTCTGGCAGGTAGGGGTCGGTCATCGGTCCCTTCCCCTCTTCCCCCCACCCCTCCACCCGGCTGAGATGAGACGCCTGAAGGTAGGCGCAACTTACGCCAGTATGCATGCAACCCACAGGGCTTCGCCCCCCGCCCGTCGCAGTCGGGCTTCAAACAGCCCCTTTCTGCCGGAGCACTGCCCGTTGGGGTGCCCAACCACCACGGCGGCGGTTGACGTGACGCACGGCGGCCCCCACCCTCCCGCCACTTATCAGCATCCTGTTGGTCCTGCAGCGAGGAGAGATGTTTTGGTCGGCGGCCCGTTTACGCCAACGGGATGAAAAGGTGTAGCGGCGGCGGTCGCGAGGTGGTGGTGGAGGAGGGGGAGGGAAAAGGGAGGGTCTAGACCCGAGATGACGCACGTTCATGCTCGGCCTCGCCCTCTGCCAGGCCGCGGCGCTCTCCCTCGCTCTGCCCCTCTCGCTCGACGCGTATAGCGCCCCTGCTGGCCCTGCCGCCGCCGGCGGCGCGCTTGGCCAAGGTGCCGGCCGTCCGGTGAGGCGCGGCGGGTGGGCTGCAGCAGTGCTCGCGCAGCCTCCCTCCCAGCAGCAGGAGCATAAGCGGAGCAAAGCGTCCTGCCCAGTCGTCCTGCGCGCGCCGTGCGATACCACAAGCACACCGAGGTAAGCGTGGCCAGCGCGCGCTCTGCAACGGTGGCGGCGTCAGCGAGCCCGCCTTGGACAGGGCCACGGCACGGCACGGGGCGACCGTCGACCCTACCTTTTCTGTCGTTCGAGGGTGTCTCGTGTCACAGGGGGAAGTACTATACTTAGAAGAGTAAAGGCGGCTTTCGATCAGTCACTTTGTAGTAATTGTATCGTAGTGAGGGAAATACCGATACTACATTTTTCTCCCCTGTTTCCGACGTTTTCTCCCTCTTGTAGAACTTCCTGTGCCATCAATTTTCGGGGTGGTAACTTCTTTTCGATTTCGATGGCATACCGGAAACATGTAGGAAAAATAGAATCCCAACTATAGTGATGGCTGTGAACGCAAACGCCCTGCATGCTGGCGGAAACCAGCCTCTGAGGGGTTCGGTCGGAGTAAAAATAAAGAAACCGGGAAGGTACCAAGCGCGACGCCCTGTGTCTGGAGTCGACTGTCGCGTTCGGAGCAGCTCTGCTGCCAAGTGGGCATTGTTCCCAGTTTGTTGCCCACGAGCAGCAATAACCCAACTTAAAGTAGTCAGAGATCCATTGCCTGATAGCATCGCGTTGATCACTGCGCCACATCCTAGAGTGTGTCCTCGACAGGGAATCGCAGTACCCGGTGGTGTGGTGTAGGTGCTCGGTCCAGGCTGCGAGTGGGCTGCAGGTATGGGGAGGGACAGGTGGGCGTGTTGGGGTGGCTTCGTGCTGCTTCGTGCGTCACACCTCGAGAGTGCAGGGAGACTGTGTTCGGACATCTCAGCCCACGGACTAATTCTTCATGCCACGCGGCTTGACGTCAAACCACATGTACTTCCGACCACCGCGTGGCCGAGCCGTGGCGTCTGGCGGCGTGGTGCGTGGTGGTGGTGTTAGAAAAAGGGGGGGGGGTGGAGCTGTTTGTAGCAATACCAATGCCCACTCGCAGGATATACACCGCTCTCACTGTCAGCTTCCCCCCAATCACCCTCTCTACCCCTGCACCCAATCCTGGCTGAAGCTGATCAGCGAGCGCGTCAGCGAGGATGTTCGCCTTTCACCGTCTGTAAACCCACCCACCATACGGCCATTTGCTGGCGTCAAAACACTACCTCCCTCTCCTCTTTTTTACCCGTATTCTAATTACGGTAGTATCTCAATTCAAAACAAATGCCGCACGACCGGTGACGCATGTACCGAGATAAGGACGGCCGGAAATCAGAGAAGTTCCTGTTGCGTTGTCGTTAAAGGTTGCCTTACTGCCCCACCGATCGTGCCGTGTCGACCGGAATCAAAATTATTGATTATAAGTGACATTCGTGCTCTTGCTTGGTGTACGCTTTGGTATTGGAGTGAGAGGGATATAGCTGATTATGAGTCCCTGGTGGATTAAGGGGAAGTGGGGAGCGGGGATGGGGTGTTCAAGGGGGCGCGCGGCCAACCTCGTGTAGGGTATTTCTCTTTTCAACGAGGTGAGAAGGGTGGGGGAGCGGCGCATTGGCGACCCGTCACTCAAGGAGCGCGACGTCACCAGAGGGGACGGGAGAGCGAAAGTGGCGCGCGGGGGACGCCGCCGCGCCACCCTGCTCACGCAAGCTCACATGGGGGAAGGGGGCTGCTATTGAACATCGAGGAATAGCGCGAGGAGGGGGAGGTGTCACTTCGCCGTCTCGGCAAAACCAGCGTGTCACACACTTGGTGCCGCTGAAGAGCCCGTCCGGATTGGCTGACCACTGTCTGGGTAGATATGATGTAATGTGACGTATGCTATCTTGCGCCCAGGTTTGTCTAACTGACTGTCGGTGTTTAAGGAATCATTGTCCTGAAAATACAGGGTGGCTGTTCTAAACGAGACATTTTGTTCGGTTATACTGTACCGCCTTCGCCTACCGGCTCGCACCACGGCGCCTCCTGGTTCCGTGCGAGTATGCAACCCGTTTGCACGCCAACATCTGGTAGTATAAACAGAAACAAATGTCCGGCGTAAAATACCCTCTCTGTATATCCATTTTTCTCAGGTTCATCCGAGAAAATACGGGCACTCAGCGCCTGCGAGACTCAGGGTAGGCCGCCCCGCATTACATATATGCACTGAGGACAAGATTTTGCCTACCAACCAGGCGCTATGAGAGCTTGCTTAGGCTGAACTTGGCAGATTCGCAACGAACGGCGAATGACGGGCGTGCCTTTTGGACGATCCCTAGCCCGTCTAACCAAGGCAATGAACCCCGGGTATAGGCGATGTGATACAAACCATGAGATCCGACGAGGTTTTCCGCGCGTTTCCGTGCGCGATGCACACAACGCACCAAGTGTAGGCACGACCGCTCCACTGTGGCACGTAGACCACCCGATCCATTTATCGCATGAAAAGAATCCTATTTGGACAGCAGAGCAAGGCAGTCGTCCCATTAATAACCTCTATTGGAAGCCCCGCTTCGATATTCAGTGTGTGAACATTTGCTTGCCCGTTCACATATGTTATTTTACGGCAGTGCCGTTTTAAAATGGAGTGACATTCTATATGTATGCGCAATCACCATTTAGTATTTATTTCGACCGAAAATATGGCATTGTTTCAAGATGAAAGTTCTGGTTGGCCCTCTCTCCTCTAGTGGAGCCGGCTGACGGCGGGGCCGAGCGGGGAGGGGCGGGCGGAGTGGCCCAACTGAACTGAGTGGCTCTCATTGTGATGAGACAACAAGCGAGTCCCAAGCCCGCGCCGTGCCGCGCCGCGCAGAGCGCCACAACGCGATGCGAAGCGATTTGCCAGCGAGTTGGCACTAAATTTAAAAGCGGCCAGACTGCTGGGCTCAGTCCGAGGGCTAGCGCAGCCCGGCCGGCGGCGAGGCGTGGCGTGGTGAGCTGCTGACGTGTTTGATATGGGCCATGATATTGCTGCCGTGCAAAATTAATCCCATTGTTTCCAACAAATTGTTATCAGCGAGTATAATTATTTTGAGGCCTTTCTTGCCTGCGTGATGACTCCAGAGAAACATATATTCTGCCCCCCCCCCTCTTTTCAGCAAGGCACCCTGAAGACTGGACAACAGATTCAGCAGGTGCTTCCACAAGCCAGGCTGACCTTTTTATATGGGCATGCAGTACAAGAAAGAAGGGCCCCCAAAACAGCAGTTTGTTGCCCGTTTCTTGCCCCTCTTTACCAGCAATACAATTCACCACTAAGTAGCTACTTTATGACGTGTTTAAGGTGTTATCTGGTCACAAGGCTCGCGCGACAATGTGAGAGATGTTTGTCTGTTCCCCCTCAGCTCGTTCTGCTACTATAGTGCCCTGTTTAGTTTCCCTTATCAGCTGCAACCGCTGCAACCTGCATGCGGTGTGCAATGGAATGGGCCAAACTCTTTTTCTTTGCCTTATTTCCCCTCCTCGTCCTCCTCGTCCCCCGCCGCAGGCCAGCCTGCTATCTTTTCCCGTGCTTCTTCCTCGCTTTCCCGCTCCCGCTCCGCATTTATACTCTCCTTTCTGCCAACACTTTAGAACCGCGCATTATAATGTAAATTTTAAAACGACTGTACTTACTTTACCTACTATGATTTTCGGCTGCCGCTTGGTTTGATATATCGGATATGCCGCTCTCTCCACGGGGAATATAGCCGCAGCGGAGCGTCTGAGCTTGAGCCGTCCCTGTAGGTATTGTTGCCAACTGAGGCATGGAAACAAACAGGCCTGAAAATGATTTTTGAATTTGATTAAATTTAGTAGAGGGCAATGAAGGGCATTATATTGTTTTTAATGTAAAATCTATTCCAATTTCTGAAAATTGAAAAATGTAAAAGTTACTCAAGAATACGGAAATTTTCAAGTGATCAACGCAATGGTAACACAAATAACAGGTGACTGTGTTTTTCTTTCTTTTCATGGTCGTAGAAGACCAATAAACATGTTCACAAATGCAATGCCTTCATATTTAAAAACAATGTGTAAACCCTATTCCTCCCGGCTTCTCGTGTCCGAAATAGTTTAGTGTAATTTCCCTGTAAAGCATTCTATTTTTACGGTCTTCTGGTGTCAATATTTCTCAGACCTAAACTGGCGCGGACGTGACCGATTGTAACGCGATGGATCCCACCTGAGTTGACGGGCACCCCGCTGCTCCCCACCGCCCCCCACCCCGCCTCGCCATGGCGGACGGGAGCAGCCCCGCCAACCACCTCTCCCCTGGGGGGCTGACCGTCAAACCCCAGTCCCGGGTACCGTCGTCGGAATGCCTCAGCAACAGGCATCCCTACAGTAATTATTCACTATTTATGGTACCATAGACGTAACGATACCTACATGCCCGCACGGTAGCCCATGAGTGGCATACAGAGGCTGTCGGTATTGAAATCACCTTTTTAAGCGTTTCAAAGGAGAACAGTCTCAAAACGCATGCCGACAGAGCAGCGCGGACCTCATCCGCCTCCCCCTGCCAGCGCGCCGCCCCGCGCGCCTTGCACTTGACCTTCGTTTCGTTGCGCCGCCGCGCGCGCCGTTGGTCCGCATGGCGGCGCTGTGTTCTCCCAGTCATAACGGACGATCCCCACCCGCGGCCGCCAAGGCCCCTTTCTCCCCCTCCCTTTTGCTTCGCCCACCCCTCCCCCTCCCCCGATCCTGTTTTCCTCTACTCGAGGGAAAAGTCGGTGGAGGGGGAAAACTGAGGGGGTCCTTCATCCTAGTGGCCGGGAGGTTTCCCTCCCTGCTGTCTGTTGGATGTCAACTAACGCGTGTCGCTTATTTGTCGAGGAAGTAGCAGAGAATGCTTCAATCTCACAGTTCCAATGATTAGTCTTTACGAGGGAAATCATCAACAACAACAACAACAAACCCAACCCCACTACAAAGTCCCAGGGTGGCTTTTAAAATATAATTTCGAAGCGCAGATCGTCTCTACACAAGTAATTTTCTGTCGATAGATGGGGATTAGAGACCTGCATTCATTGTCAGCGTTTGGTATTTTTAATTTATTTTTTGCCTCCGTGATCTTGTGCTCCCGAGCCCAGCCCAACCCGCGCGTGCTGTGTCTATATTAAGCGAGTTGTGTTTCCCTTCCAGTTCCTCCCGACCCAGAGCAGCAGCAGCCGCAGCAGCAGCAGCAGCCACCAGGGACGGGCCGAGCCGGCTTCACGTCCTCCCCGCAGCTGTCCGAGGCCCGCCCCGCCGAGGCGCCGCCGCAGCAGCAGCAACCGCCGCAGCAGGAGGTCCACGTGGCCGAGGCCGACGCTGAGGCCGACGCTGAGGCCCCCGGCGGCGCGACGGCCGCGGCCCCCCCTCCCCTCGGCGGCGACGCCCCCTCCGCCTCCCCGAGCGAGGGCGCGATGAAGACAGCCGAGGCCGCCGCCACCAAGATCCAGGCCGGCTTCCGCGGCTACAAAGTGCGTCGCCAGCTGCGCGAGCAGAGCCAGGACCAGAGCGTGGCGGACGGCGGCGACGACGGCCACGGCACCGACACCGGCGCGGCCAGCAACGGCCAGCAGGGTCAGCACGCGGGCCAACAGGTCAGCAGCGGCCAGGGCGGCGGCCAGCCCGGCGACCGGGCGTGATCCCGCGTCCTCCCGACCACAGCCAGAGCCGCGCGGGCGCCCCCCGCGGCCGGCGGCCACCCCCACCGCGTGAGCCGCGTGAGTCCAGTTGTCGATATGGTCAGTGCACTCCTACGCACGCAGGGCACGCTTTGTCGGACCCACAACCCTTCTTCTTGCACGGCCTGTGATAGCGTGATCGGGATCCATGGTCATTTGGATATCGCATCACTCTATTTAAGTTTACCTAGAACTAGTCAACAGTTTTAGGAGCGTTGTCTTAAGATTGATTACGTTTATTGATAAGATTGCCGATTACGAATAAACCACCGCTCGTTTAGACGCTGCACACTTTTTTTGAAATTTCTGCCCATAGCACAATAATTTCGGTGTGTTGAAAAAATATATACCGCTCTGGAAACTCGGGTGTGAGACAGTCTAACACCAAATGGTGTTAGGCAAAATACCTCACACCAAACGGTGTGAGGCAAACATACCTCACACCAA